AATTGTTTTTGTAAATTTGTTATCCCTTGATAATCTGAAACATTGGTTCGCCATTCTCTAGCTTGCAAGCCAGAGGGTGTTTTGCAATCCACGAATCTTAAAGAGCAATATTGATTTAAAGGTTTAAACTGACAACCATGCATAAGGTAGTTATGCAGAGCAGTTGGAGCTTTAGTAACATTAATTACAGTTTTTTCGTTTGCAATAATTGGTTTGCGAAAAATTATGCATCTTGCTGCCAGAATCCCAAAAGTATTTTTTATTATTCTACGTGCACATGACAATATGGTTTCATTATATAGTTTTTGAGAGAAAATGCCTCATCTCAAACAAGAACATAAGGCAGTTTTATGTTTGAACCATTTGGCTTGTTAGGTTCTGGGATATGAAATAAGTTTGATTCAAAAGCAATTCCTATTTTACTATTTTTGAATACACCACCGTTACTGTTTCTACCAGTATCACTAATGTCAATAAGTGTGAACTCATACTTTGCATTGCAAATAGCCATCAAAACAATTGAGTGAGATTTTTTGTAAATAAAGTAGAATGACCCTGATCTTGAAAGGGCTTGCATAATGTTTCCCATCAAAAGCCCCTCTGCAATTGGAGAAGTTTCATTTTTTCTCAAATTCGTTTGCTATAGCTTTCCATTCATTTTTGCTTTTTGGATAGCTAGTATATCCTTTAGCCAGTAAAATAGTCCATATAGCAATATTCGAAACATACCAGCTAAATCTATTTGTGAAATGCTTCCAAATATGTATCTAAGAGTGAACATCAATCGTTCGCTAGCTCCGATTGTTTCACGTTTGAGAGATTTGATAAGAGAAGATTTTGTAATCGCTGGTAGAATTAGGCTTAGCAAATGTTCATACCTTGTAGGTGTCATTCTAAAATACTTAAAAAAGTATTCGTTATCAAAAAGCTGCATAAATAAACTTTAGCTTTTCTTTCTCTAAATAATTTTCTGACCCACATACTTTTACCTTCTTTTGATTTTTAAATAATACAATTAAAAATCAAAAGAAGGTAAAAGTATGTGGTATGAATCGATAACGCCACCATTTTTGTTATTTAACTATCATTATTTAAAAACGAAAGTTAAAATGATACGTATAAGTGGAAATGAATAAATCCTATCCGTCCTGTACAAATCACTGTTTTTTCACATCCCTTTCCCATTCCCATAGAAAAACGGTCAAGTGGAAATTTACTTGTCAATTAAGAAAAGGGGAACGTTTTTTAGTTTCCCCTCTTCCCGCCGGAGTTTGTTAGGCCTCCCGTTTTTTAATTTTAAGGAAATCTAAAATAGTTTTGCGATTTATCTGCTTTAAGGAATCTTTTTTTTCTTTCCTCATAGGTTTTTTCATTTTTTTTGGTATAGCACAATAAAAGAATTTTGTCATACCTTTTAACAACTTTGATTTAACAATATAAAGTAGGGGAGAACTTGCACCCTTGATCCGTAAGCACCTTTGATCCTATAGCGTTATCTCCATACTTACATAACTTATTAAAGAGGGCTGATAACCAGTGTGTTATAAATATTGTATCTTCAAAATTAATTGTGTTTTGGTTAGAAAAGAGAACACTATTAAATTGATTTCTAAATAGTTTGATTTTGACGACAAAAAGTAATTTTTTCACTTTTAAAAGGAACCTCACATCTTTATTATTTTTTTAAGTTGAATAATTATGCTTATGTCATTTTGTAACTAAACTATTCACCTCTTGTATAGTTGCTTTTGGTAAGCTATAGAAGCATCTAATATGACAAAAAAAGAATTTTTGTAAAAATGGAGCGGTTTAGCACCCTTGATCCTAATGCGTTTATGCACCTTTGTGGTTAACTTAGGGATAACAACTCATTGTAAATCACTCTTCATTGCTTGGTTTTTTTTTCATCCTATGATCAAAGGTGCATACACACACCCACACATACACACACACGCACACACAAAATGTTTAACTTTTAAAGTAACATGTACAATACGTCATATTGTTTTTAAATATATATATATTTTTTAAATAAAGCCTTAAAATAAAGATTTTATACTATTTTGTATTTTTTTGTTCTCCTAAAACTTTTATATAATATAATTGTAAAAAAATGTAACATATTTATATAGTTTTGCTATACTCCTAATTTTTGGAAAAACATTTATAAAGATTTTTACTTACTAAAATCTTCTTTATTAACAAACAAACACACACACACTATATATATATATATATATATATATATATATATATATATATATATATATATATATATATATATATATATATATATATATATATATATATATATATATATTTGTGTGTGTGTGTGTGTGTGTGTGTGTGTGTGTGTGTGTGTGTGTGTGTGTGTGTGTGTGTGTGTGTTTGTTAATAAAGAAGATTTTAGTAAGTAAAAATCTTTATAAATGTTTATCCAAAAATTAGGAGTATAGCAAAACTATATAAATATGTTACATTTTTTTACAGTTAAATATGGTGTATCATTAAAAAAAACAAAAACCGATAGACCACCTAGAGGTAAAGTTAATGAGAATGAAATGTGAGCAGCTGTTAATGCAATTCTTAATAGTGGTAATACCAATTAAATCCAAATACAGTCTTCAAACCTAACTTCATTACCATGCAACTCTTTACCAACAAAGAAGAAACATCTTTATCAGATTATCTTTCAAGGGCCTCAAAACTTCACTATGGATTGTCAACCAAAACAACACGAAAACTTGCCTATGAATTTGCAATAACTCTTTCTAAGCGCATTCCTAAATCGTGGAAAAGTTTACAAATCGCTGTGAACAGTGGCTTCGTGGTTTTATGTTACGTATGAATGAGTTATCTTTACGAAATCCAGAAGCTACTAGTATGACACGAGCAACTGCTTTTAATTGTTATACAGTCGGAGAATTTTTCACTAATATAAAAGATGTTCGTTTACGACACAAGTTTCAGCCACAAAACATATATGATGTTGATGAGACAGGTCTCACAACTGTTTAAAAACCAGGTAAAGTAATTGCTAAAAAGGAGATAAACAAGTTGGAAGGAAAACTTCAGCAGAAAGAGTTTCCTATTGCATTAACTGCACAACAGTTTGTTGTGCAGTTAATGCAATAGGAAACTCAATCCCTCCATTTTTTTATTTTTCTAAGAGTTCATTTCAAAGGAAGTATGATAAATGGTGGTCCACCTGGATGTGTTGGGGTTGCAAACCCATTTGGTTGGATGAATGTTGCAACATTTTTAAAGTGGATAAAACATTTTATTTAAAATGTGAAATGTTCACCAGCTAATCCAGTGCTTTTACTCCTTGACAACCACGAGAGTCATGTTTCAATTGTGTGTTTAGATTTAGCTAAAAAAAATGGCATAACTATGCTGTCCTTTCCACCACATTGTAGTCACAAGTTGCAGCCATTAGATCGGTCAGTTTATGGGCCACTGAAACGTTATTACAATGTAGCCTGTGATGATTGGATTGTATCTAATCCCAGACCGATGACCATATATGATATAGCTTGAGTTGTAAGGAAAGCTTATGCACAAGCTTTTACTTTGTCTAACATTTCTGCAGGATTTGCTGTGGCACGAATCGAACCCTTTAATCCTAACATATTTTCTGATAATGAGTTTTTGTCTTCATATGTAAAAGACCGTCTAGAACCTATTACTGCTAACCCATTTCTAGGTATAGTTGATCCAGTTTCTGCTATTGTTCATGCCCAGCTTTTAATCAATCGTTGATGTCAAGTCTGTCATTGCCTATTCAACCTATATCTGACCCTAGAAGTTAACTATCCAGTGTTTCTAATAATATCTCTCATTAAGCAAGTCTAGAAAAAATTAGGCCATTTTCAAATAATGGATCAAGGAAATCCATTAAAGGATGTAAATGTCAGCGTACTCGAATACTCACAGACAATCCTGTTTGAAATGAGTTAAATAAGCTTCAGGAAATAAGAAAAATCTAAGTCAAAATCTAAGATAAATTTGCAGTAAAATTAATATTAACTTTCTGGTTTTTATTATAGACATTGTTTTGATGACTTAAAAATTATTAACATACATTCATGGTATAAATTCGATCTCAAATCAAGTATACATACGTAGGATCAAGGGTGCATATAGGTAGAATCAAGGGAGCATACTGGTATTTTAAATTCTCTATCGTTATTTATACCACACAAATTTAATGAGTTATTAAGATTTTTTATTTCAACTCTTAAACAAAAACTTACTATTTTAACTATTACGCAAAAACTTATTTGTTCATTATCTCAAAAATAATGTTTTGAACTTTTAATGCGTTTCACTTGTGAACAACAACGTTCAATACTACAGACAAAGATTTTTCAGACAAAGAAATTGATCCCAATTGAGCGTTCTTAGTTTTTATAATTTTAAATCTACTTAAAATATTCTTGTAAAAAAATGATTATTGAATTATAATTAGGTATAAAATTTGCTATTATGTACTGTTATTTTAGAGATAAAAATAAAAATATATATTCAGTAAGTTGACCTGATAGATTTTTAGGATCATGGGTGCATACTCTCCCCTACCATAATAGTAGCGTTTTTTTATTATTTTAAAATTATGTTAAAAGTTCAATAAGTCTTATATAAACACCAAGTAATCTTAAAAATGTATGAGTGATTAAAAAAAAAAAGTCTCTACAACAAATAAAATAAAAAATCCATTTCTCTATTTTACAATCTTTGTAAAATTGAGAAAAAAGCTTTTGAATGTAATATATTATGTAAAATTACAAGAGAAGACGAGAAAAGAGAAAGAAAGAAACGAGAAGAGGTAAATGTAGGCGAGAAGAGGGGTAAACGTTTACCATGAAACTATTGCTTATTATCGAATAATGTTACTACGCGCACTACTATTGCTTATTTATTATCAAATGTTACTACGCGCACTACTATTGCTTATTTATTATCAAATAATGTTACTACGCGTATTACTATTATAAAACTATTGTAAATAATATTTTTTTTGAAAGTTAAATACTTTATTAAAAAGTTTTTAATTTAACGGCGTCATCAAGTTACATCATTGAACAACATCTATGTCAGTTGAAGAATTTTTCATTTTCTTTAACTCTTGAAGCACATGAGCTGCAATTTTTCTTTTTTTCTTTCTTCGTTTCTAAAAATAAATTAAAAAACAAACAAACAGGAATACCACAATTTACATACAATAATACCTGTATATATATTTGGTAAATTATATGCTATTTATGTTTTGCATATATTATAGACATTGTTAAAAATAGCCTGGAGATTAAAATCTTTTTTTAAATACTTGAATAATAAAGACAAGAGTCAGATGAGTCAAAGCAGTCAGGTTGTTGTGAACAAGCATAAAAAATAGCAACAACAAATGTTTTTGAAACAGTTAAAAACCGTTATTTGTCAAATTTTTCAACTTTAAGTTTTTTAAATTGATTTTTTAAAAGTCAAAAGTCGAAGTACTTATAAAAAGCCAAAGCATGATGAAAGTATGTTTAAAGAAGAATTTAAAACAAAAGCTCAATTGAAAATTGTCCTAAAGTTTCTGTGTTATATATTAGAAATTCTTTATCATAAAAAAACGACATGTTTATATAATAAAAATTCAATGTGCAATGCTTCAAAACTGCTGCGTTATCTACTAGTTTCAATTGAAAACATAATATCATAACATCTTTAATGATCATCTAAATGAATCCATAGCAATATGACTTCAGAAAAATGAATCCAGAAACATAGTCAGACTTCTAATTTATACTATTATAAAGGTATTTATTGTTGTATACATTATCCCACCCAACAAAGCATCATTCTGTCTTAAAACTAATTAAACCTAATTACCTGGTAATTTTTTTTTTCTGATAAAATATTTTCTATGTGTTTTCGATAAAAATATCTCATTAAATGTATGCGCCATTTTGAATAAAAAATATACTTAAGAATTTGCCTAGTAAACTGATAACTAAAATTTAGAGAGTTGTTTTAACAACCTTTGTTTTAACCTATAACATACAGAAAAAAAAGCTTCTACCAAAAGTCTTTCTTCTGAAAAACTGATAAATGTTGATTAGACCCACATTACCCTAAGAATATCGGCGTCCATTGGACTGTCTTTGAACCTGTCTGAGGGGGCAACCAAATTTCATTTTTTTTCTGACAAATAGATGATTAGTTGCCCCGTTTAGCAGAGTTCAAAATCGTCCGTGGGGCGCTTTGCCCCCCGAACATATTAAATTACAACATTAAATAGTTAAATTTTATTTCACAATTTTAAATTTTAAATTTATTTTATACTTTAACTTTTAAAAAAAACTTTAAAAGTACCTTGATAGAGTTTGCATCTTTGATTGGAATTGAATCTTTTGCTTTTTTCTTCTTTTTTTTCATAGCAAGCGGATTAACTCCTTTTACCTTTCTGCGTTTAGGTCGAGGTTCTTTTTCTTCTTCAACATTCTGAAGTTTTTTTAACTGCTGAAGACGCTCTTTTTCGACGCTTGATGTCATAGTTTTAACCGAGTCAATCTATTTAACATTTTTAGTATATCAAAATAGGCATAGATAAACATTTTTACATAATGTATTACAGGGTGGCCACGTAAAATTTTTATAAGAAAAAGAGGATATTAGAGGAGAATTTCTATTTCATTTAAAGAATTTTTTTCGCATAACTACAAAATTTTGAATAAAAATAGAGGATTTTAGAGGATTATTTTTTCAAGGTTTAACGCCTATGTTTCTACAAAACTGGGGTTTGGACAGGGGTCAACAATGCCATTTTTTGTTAGATGAAATGGATTTGTTAAAATTGCTTTTTTACAACCCAATTCTCATTTCAGACGTTACGCATTTTGCAGACCATAAATTCTGAACATTATACTACCATCAAGAAATAAAAAATAATAAAAAAGAGGAGTTAAAGAGAAGATTTTATGATATTTTCAACTTTTAGAGGATAATAGAGGATTTTAGAGAAGATTTTTGAAAAACGAGGACTTTAGAGGCTTTTAGAGGAGCTGTGGCAACCCTGTATTACTTAAAGTATATTGCATGTAAGCGATGTATTACTTAAAGTATATTGCTTAAAGCTGCTTACACACAAAATATATAAGTTAGTATAAAAGTTTAATAATTAATAAAATAAACCTATAGTACAAGAAAAATAAATTTGAATAATAATTTTAAAAATGTTTGTAAAATGGATGGTGTATCCTTAGAGAGGTTCTAAGATTGGTCACATATTTATGGTAAACATCATTTAGATAAATTGTGCTATTTTTCTCAGTTGGCTACTTAAACTTGTCTAGATTGTCTCTTTGATGACCTTATAAAAAAATAATTTCTCATGGTCTTGCTCACTCTTTAATTTTCTTGGTCTTGCTCACTCTTTAATTTAGAAACACTTTTATAAAGATTATTTTAAATACATAACTAAAAATGTTCCATAAATAAATAACTAAATTAATAAATACCTTGTAAATTAAAAAAATATATATATTAACCTGATCTCCTCTATCTAAAGTACCTTTTGATGGTTTCTCCAACACAAGTGAATTGTAGTGAATGTAAAGTAATGGCACACCTGGTAATAATTATAGTCGTATAATTGTTAATGTAAATTACACAAAAGAAAATTTTCATGCTATTTTCTTTTCTCGAAAATGTTGAAGTGATAAAAACAATTATGCCAAAAAAAAAATTAAAATATTATAATAAAAAAAATATCTATAAATTTAAAGAAAATAAGTCTCACAATAAAATTGAAAGGAAAAAAAGGTATCAAGCCAGTTAGGTAAATAAGTTTTTAAGGAAAGCCATTATATGCACATTTTAAAGTAGATTTATATTATTAACAATTTTATCTTTGTCTGTAGTATTGAACGTTGTTGTTCACAAGGGAAACGCATTAAAAGTTCAAAACATTATTTTGAGATAATGAATAAATAAGTTTTTGCGTAATAGTTAAAATAGTAAGTTTTTGTGTAATAGTTGAAATAAAAAATCTTAATAACTCATTAAATTTGTGTGGTATAAATAACGATAGAGAATTTAAAATACTAAATAGTGGTATAAATAACTCCATACCGCCAAAAATGGACTTTGCATTTCCCTTGTATACCGATGATTTGTAAAGAAAAAAAAAATTAGTAACAAGTAATTTAAACTTTAAAACTCTCAAATCTGAATGAATTTGCTTATGTAAAAACAAGCTGATTATTTTTCTTAATTTATATTCAATTTTCATCAAAACTTTACTTAGATTAATTTTTGTTTCTTAAAATATTGTCATTTGTTTTTAATTACTATTTATTAGTATAACATTTATTATTATAATAACTAATAATAAAAATAATATTTAATAAAGTACTAACTTTAAAACAACAAAATATAATTTCCCACAGCTACAACCTTAACCACAATGAAGACATTAGTTTTTTGTTTTTACTCATGACCTAAAATGTTTCAGAATATTTTTTTGAAAATTAATTTTCCCACATGAGTACTTGAGACAAGGAGGCTACTTATTTATATTGACTACTTATTTATATTTACTATATTAAAAAAAATAATAATGCTATAATAAATAAATCTTTTACTTGCGAAACGCAAACCTTGACAAACTAGTCTGTTGTATGAAAAAAGAAGTAGAGTTTGATGACTTAGCCTTGGAATGTGGTCAAATATTCTTTAATTTTGAAAGAAGTTAAATGAATAAAATTTTCTGTTTAAATAAACTATTACCAGGAATTTTTTTCAACTGATCGCAAAGTTCTTTATCTTGAGTGGACACAAAAAAATGATGGGGATTGTCTTCACCTAAAAATAAATATATATCTATATTTAAAATAAATTAAAATTCTTTATTGTATAGAAAATAAAAATAAAAACATAAATTTTAACAAATATATATTTTTATTTTAAAATATTCCATAATAATATAAATCGTGTACACAAAATAAGTGTGAAAGTAGAAAAACAACTTTTATTTAGAACTAAGTATTAATTTTAATACATTAATATAAGAAGATAAAATAATTCAAAAAAAGTAATTTATACCAATGGGCATCTAATGTACTTTATATAAGTTTCATCATCTTCAATAATTCAGAAATTTAATAAATATACGTGCCATACAACTTTTTTCAGGGGGTTTCTTTCACTTTTCTTTTTGAATTTCAGAATGGTTAGGCACATTTTGTAATTTAAAAGCTTGAAAAACATGTTTAATTCAAACTTTTACAACAAAACTATGAAAAAATCTTTTTGTGCGCTCCCTTAGTGAGAGGTTATTCATAAAACTGTTAACCAGTTTTCTAACTAGTTTTATATCTTAAAAAACCTCCTTTCCTCTTTTACCAGAATTGCATTAGATCAATTTTGTTTGGGAAAATCATTAAATAACATGACTAACAGTGTAGTGATGTATTTGCAACTTTTTTGCTATTGAATTGTAGTTTTTATTTGGATTTTCCCAATATTTGTGCAAAATATTTTTTATAACGTCTTCTTATTTTGTCATTTTTAAATCTAATTTTAAGTTAAAACGAAAAACTAAAACATTTTTTTGAAATTGTTACATGTTGCCAACAAAATACAAACACAATTAAAAATATATTAATAAAGCCACTGAAAAAAAAAAAAAAGATGTGCTTACTCTTTCACATTGATTTTGTGTGCACGCTTTAACAACTTTTTTGAGTTGTTGATTTTTCTGAATCAAAACAGTTTCAAAAAATAGAATTCCTAATTTAAATGTGAATAATTTAACACTACATTATTTAATTTCATTCTATTGAAAATGTAAAAACAAATGTCAATAAATGCCTAATATCACAATATGATCTGTTCTCAGTAATAATATGATCAGTTCTCAGTAATAATATGATTTGTTCTCAGTAATAATATTACAAATTAAAATAACAATAGTTGATATAATGGTGGATGTAAAAAAAATTTAAAGAATTTAAAAAAATAATGAAATCATACCAATTATACTTAATATGCATGCTTGAGCGCTTACAGGTTTTTTGTGGTTACATTTTCGAAGTTTAAACTGTTTACATACTAACACTGCCCCATAAAGTTGTGGCCCAAGAGATTTTCCTTCTTCAAGAATACAATTTGTAGTGTCGTTGATGCTAGTTAAAGATTATGTATGAATTTTAAGTTGCTTGTCATTATATAAATTTTAATGCTTGTCATTATAAAAAAAAAATTTACGTATGCACGAAAAGCTTTCCATCATTCACAAATACACACACACAAAAAAGGAATAATGAATATGGATATTGTAAACCTCTGCTTTTATTACACATTTTCTTAACTGTGAAAAAAAAAATCAAAAAACTGTAAAACTGAACAATAATATTAATAATATACTAAAAATATTTCTATAATAATGATATAACTTATAACTATTTATAACTAGTAATAGTAATACTAATAATAATAAACTAATAATTATTTCTATTTAATTATTATAATTATAATTAAATTAGAAAAAAGTTTTTGATAGTTTAAATTGATTAATCATGAGAGAATTTTATACAAAAAATTTTTTTTGTATAAAATTCTCTCTCTCTCTCTCTCTCTCTCTCTCTCTCTATATATATATATATATATATATATATATATATATATATATATATATATATATATATATATATATATATATATATATATATATATATATGTATATATATATAGCCCTTGTAAAAAAAATTGCCGACCTTGTTTCTATGATTTACAGTAAAACTTTTGTATCAAATTTTTTTTGCTAATTATAAGCAGTTTAAGGTCCTAAGTACCCGAATGCCACACATGTACAGCAACCTTTGTAAAATATAGAGAGATATGGTTGCAGAGATAAAACTACAACCATAGACTTCCAAAATCTCAGTTATAAAAACCTACAGTAAAGTACTGACACTCAAATAAAAAGATATTTCAGGAGAACGAAAATGTTTATATACAGCAACTTTAATAGACGTCATAAATGTTTATATACAGCAACTTTAATAGACGTCATACTAAATTTTGGGAATGAAATGAATGAAACTGGAGCACAAGATAACATTTTTATAATTTTGTTATGAAGTCAAATAAGGATATGTGAATTTTAGGTTTATTGTTAATAAAAAAGAGTTTTCTCTCAGGGCCTGATCCTATCAACTCTACTAAATTGAATAATTCTTTTTTTAATGTTAATTCACTGCCTCAGGGTCATGAAGGCCACTACAGTCATGGAGGATACTTTAATTGTGGTTAAAACCCTCAATAACTCTGAAACACAAACTTAAATGAACATGGCCGCTGTGCAGAGAAGCAAGTTAAGCGTGGTACTACCAGGAATGTAGTAGGGAACAATCTCGGAACTTCTTGCTTACGAGGTGAGCGCTCTATCACTAAACCACTATCGCATTTTGTCGCATAACTTATCAGGAAATCTAACAAAACAATAAATTTATTTAAAAATGATTTTGAACTAGATATGGATGAAGTTTCTGATTATTTCCAAGTGATAATTATTTAGATCAAAATAAAGTATCAATGTCAGTATTAAAAGAAACTCAAAGTTCCTGTTGCAAATAAACCTGTAAACAAAAGAAAGAAATGTCTAGTATATGCTCTATCTACACAAGTGCAAAACACTTACAAAAAAAGATAATAAATCCGCAGAGGATAAAAATTGTTTATGTTATGTGTGCTAATATATAACAATATATATGAAGAGGAAAAGAGATCAAAGTTGTAGCTGAATTGTGATTTATGTGATCATGCCGTGCACTTAAATTGTGTTCTGAAGAGCATAAAAAACATACAAATATAAAAAACTCATTAAAAGAAATAACTTTCTTTTTGTGTGTAGAGAATTAGATAACTTTATTGCTTTAATTCTCTTCAATTTTGTTTGATTCTCTTCAGTTTTGTTTGATTCTCTTCAGTTTTGTTTGATTCTCTTCAGTTTTGTTTGATTCTCTTCAATTTTCACAAAAATTGTGATTTTAGTTTGCAAAATACAAATTTTGCAATATGTATTCATTTAATATACTTTACATTTTTGTAGTTATTGTATAAAAAAAAAAAAAAAAAAAATTAAAAAACTATATATTTGTTAATAATTAGGTTCTTTAGATCTAAATTTAAATTGGCGTCAATAATTGAGTTGACCAATCAACTTCTAATGTTATTATAAGCTAGATTTTTTATAATAATGTGAAATAACTTTAGGTGTATACAAGCTTTTTTTGTAATTTCAGAACATTTCGGTTTCAATCACTGGAACAATTTATGCACACAAATTAGTATTAAAAATAGCATTAGGATGCCAATAACTGCGACACTACTACTGCTAAACCACTAGCAAATACTATATAACTGACATAAAATTATAATGTATTATAGTAAGAGTGCATATATATAATACTTAATAATAGTACAATATCATAAAATATATAAACAAAAAAGATACATAATAAGGAATCTCCCTCAATGTAGCTGGATACTTGTTCTTTTATATTAATTTTGTAGGTCAAAGCAAACTGACAGAAAGTCAAATCAACTAGAATTTAAAAACATTTTAAAAATAAAAATTAATAACTTTAAACTTATTATTATTTACAAATATATATATATATATATATATATATATATATATATATATATATATATATATATATATATATATATATGTAAATTAGTAAAAAATCACTTGACAACAATTTTTTTTTATTTAACTGTGTTTCATCAATAAAGACTCATCAGATTCATCAATAAAGACTCAAAAATCTGAAGACTCATTAGATATTTATTGATGAAACACAGTGTTAAATGAAAAAAAATTTTGTTAAGTGATTTTCTACTGATTTATAATTGCTTTGTTTTTTTAAGAACATTGAGCACTCTATTTTGTAGAATACATTTTAAAATTGTTTAAATATATATATATATATATATATATATATATATATATATATATATATATACATATATACATATATATATATATACACACGCACATATATAATATATACGTATATAATAATATTTATATATATACACATATATAATGTATATGTATAAAATATATAAATAATATTTATATATTCACATATAATGTACACATAATATGTATGCATATATATATATATATATATATATATATATATATATATATATATATATATATATATATATATATATATATATATAAATATATATATATAAATATATATACACATATATAAAATATATGTATATAATATATAAATAATATTTATATATTACATATACAAAATATATATAATATATGTATGAATATCACGGATGCGTAGTCCCTATTTTAGCTTGGAGTCTTGGGAACCATAAAAATTTTGGGACTCTGTGATGTAGCCAGAGATATAATTTTACACTTTTTAATTTTTAGGCCAAACTGAGGTTTTAGATAATGTATTAAGTGTACAAGATTGGCGTTTCTTCGCTCTTGAATTCGAAGTTTAAATTTTTCTATTTTTATTGATGTCTCTTGATCTTTTAGCTTCTTAGAAGCAAACTCTGTAACTTTTTCTGCAAGTAAAAGATCAGCATCTTCTTCGCTTAAATATTCCACAGTCAATTCAATAGGAGCAAGAGCATCGCATAGTTCCTTGATCTTTTCCAATTCTTTATCAGAAACATCAAATTCTCGCTCAAGATGGATCATTGCTACTTTAACTTCTTTGCGAACTTCATAAAATCGCCGCAACATTTTACTAAGGCTTTTCCATCTCGTTTTGCAATCTAAAACAAAGTTTTCTCCACTCTATAGGACTGTATATTTTGAGGTTGAAGATTTTCATCATTCCTCACTGGGGACAGTCTGAAATCTTATCAACAATTGTACCAATATCGGAAACCAAGTTCAGCTCGCTGTTTGATTCACCATATTCTGCATCTGTTTCATCATAATCAGATTCATCTTCAGTTACTTTATCAATTACATCGTTGTTAATCTTATCAGGTGTATAAAGTATATCATAAAGATGGATTGCATGTGCAAGACAGTTAATGTGAATGAGACTAGTCTCTTTTCCAAATTTCACTATTACACTTGCATCATCGGTAATTGTTGCTACAATGTTATTGTCCAAATCTAAGTTGAATTTTGACAACCCAGTTGAATGGCTTTTTAAGTTTTCACACTTCCATGAAGACGAAATAATCCAAGTGATTGGAAACCAATTAAACCATGCAAGTTCAGATTCATGTAAGGACGGATTCTAACCAATGTGGATTCGTCAAAACATTTTTCGTCAACTCGTTTCTCCGCACAGCGGCCTTGTTCGTCAAGGTTCGTGTTTCGGAGTTATAGAGTTATAGAGTAGGGTTATATAACCACAAATAAGTAGCCTCCTTGTCTGTAAAGGCCTTCTCTGCCTTAATGAATTAACAAAAATAAAAAATAAAAAACTGATAGAAAAATGACCTCCTTCTTCGTGAATTTTTCTAATTTTTTCTTTAATAACAAGGATAGTTTAGGCGTACTCTGTCATAAATTGATCCCTGATGTTTTGTAGACATTTTGGCAAGGTGTAACCATCAGATTTAAATGCTCTTTTAAGCAGAACACTGTTTTCAATTTGGTTAAAACTTAGGCCATCAACTACCACCAATTTGCTTTTGACTTCTGCATGAGTTTCTGAATCTTTCTTAAAGAAAGTTTCAATACCAGAAACTTTTGGTATTGATTGATTTTCTAGAGACTGATCTTTCTCGCCACTAAATTTATAAGATAAATAGCAGCAAGAATCTTGTGCTTTGCTTGAAGGTTATTTTTGGTTAAAATTAAGCTTTTTGTTTCAAATTTTTAAAACTGATGAACAAATTTTACACTTTGCACAATTCTCTTTTTTGCTGTACACAAAATATTCCCAAACATGCAATTTTCTTCGAGAACTGACATCTCTAAAGTCTGCCATTTTTCAATTTATTTTATTTTTTCTGTTAAATTTAACAATGTTTAATAGCTGCACGACAAACAGTAATAATATTTATGTAATACTAGTTATATATTTTTTAAACAATAATAATATTAATAATAAATAAATTCAAACATGTTTAACTATGAATGGCTGATAATTTGAGCTTATTACCCAGGTAACGGGTAAGGTAATACCCGGGTAAGAAACACTGACTGATCCCTGAATAACTCCACCATGATTTAAAACTCAGATTTAAATGATCTTGCTATATTTTCTTAAAAAATTAGCACAGCGAATTTGACTACTTTAAATACATTTTTACATGTTTCTTTATACACATGAACATATTACATAGTTTAGGACTACTTTATAAAATTGTTTTAGTATTAAGCACTTAAGTCACTAGGTATTATCTATTTGGTTTGGACCCCTGACAACTATATTTTGCGCAGTAGATTCTATTAACTTCCTAAAAAAGTGTATCAGCGTTTATTGCTTTGAATGGGACAAGGTTAAGGTATTTGACCTATTAGTAGTATGTCCTCTCAAATGTTGCAACATAAGGAGGCTTGACACGGAGGTGGGCTTTACTTGCTTGTTTTGAGGATGATATTCCGTCGTGGGTTTCTAGGAATGAGCATTAAAACATTCGAAACGTCACATACCAGAGTATTGAATCCTTGTAAGGGTCAATACTATATCTATTTCCAGACAAGAACCAGATATTTTACTACATAATTTACAATTTATTTTTAACGCTGATATACTTTTATACTCTTTCTATAATTAATTTTGGGCGTACTTTCCATATTATAATATGTGTTTATTATCGTTGTTTGTCAGTATACTGCTGTTGTTGTACTTTAGGTATAATAAATCGAGTATTTTTGTAATAATTTATCACATTATTCTTACCACAATGATGGCAATCATTATTGTTTTGGTTTTAACATTTGAACTACTCATGGTTTTTCCTGCCAAAACAAGATTTCTAATCTTTTTTATCTAATTTATCATTAATTAATGAAAATCTTTACATAAACCGGAAAAAGTTCCGTTCTTTCTTGTAAGTGGGAAGTCTTGGGTTGAAAGTATAATACCTACTCTTCCCATGTATCAAATTTACTACTGGCCTTAAGCATTCAAATTAAACTAACTTTAGAATAAAAGTATTAGACTGCAGCGTATTTAATTAATTAAAGCTAAATAAAAATTCAACATAAAAAATAAAAATTTTCTATAAATTAAACTCAATGTAAAACAAATATTTCCAATAAACCACGCTAATTGAATTTAATTTTATATGAGCCAAATATAAAAGGAATAGCTGCACCACACCATATAAACCTAATTCAAATATAAAAATAAAATAAAACAAATAATTTCAATAAACCAAATTCAAATAAATATAAACTAAAGAGAAAACAAATAACATTACAAAATGTATAAATTTAAAAATAAATTTTGTTTTAAATTTAAAATAAATTTAAAACAAAACAAATATCTATAAAATACCTTATTAATTTAAACTAAGTTTAAACTAAATGCTAAATGAACAACTATACTAAAACGCATGTATTAATTTATTAAAAACTGAATATAAAACAAGTCACTTAAATAAACCATATGAATTAAACTTAGTAGAAACTAAATATAAAACGAATTATTTTACTAATAACGGCATAAATTAAACTAAGTTAAAAACTATACCAAATATTTATACTTAAATATACAAAAGTTAGTTATAATATAAATATAAAATGAAGAATCACATTAAACTATATTAACTAAATAGAAATTAAACAAAAACACAACCCTTTCTAACCATATCAATACAAACAACTCTATCTAACCATATCAATACTAACATCTTGAATCATATCATGAACAATATCAGCTGAACTATGTAGAAACTAAATACAAACGAATCATGCTACTAATAACCGTATAAACTAAATTAAAACTAAAACATACAAAAGTTAGATATAATATAAATATAAAACAAAGAATTACATTAAACCATGTAAAACTAAATGGAAATTAAATATAACACAAACTCTATTTAACTTAATTAAACAACTTTAAAAAGAATATAGTTAGAAGAACTGCATGGTTCTGAAATTAATTAAAAATAAGTAAAAATTAAACATATGAATTAAACTCAATGTAAAACGAATATTCCCAACAAACCACATTAATTAAATTTAACTATATATAAGCTAAATATAAAACAAACAGCTGCACTCCGTATAAATGTGATTTGAATACAAACAAAAACGAAAACGAGTAATTTTAATAAACATATATAATTCAAATAAATATAAACTAAAAACAAAACAAATAACATTACTAAACTGTATAATTGGAATAAAATAAATTTAATATAAAAAGAATATCTATAATATACCATACTAATGTAAACTACATGCTGAAAAAAATAACTATACTAAAACGTATAAATTAATTTAGGTATAAACTGAATATAAAACAAGTGCCTTGAGTAAACTGTATAAACTAAACTAAGTAGAAACTAAATATGAAACTAATAACCGCATAAATTAAACTAAGTTAAAAACTACAGCAGTTAAATTATTTAGCAGTAAGACGACCATACAGTTCCCATTTTCTTCTATTAATTACCTGCTAAAACATTGAACATCTATTCAAAATGATATAATTAATACACTAACACTTTTTCTAATATAATCGATCACTTCTTTCTTCTCAAAAGCGTTTACGGCTAAATGTGATCCACTAATGACTAGACTTACTTGTTCTAGTTGTGAACTTTATATAAGTCATTTTGGCTTAACTACACATAAAGAAAGGAGAGGTCAAGCTGATCTGATTCCACAATTTAAACTTTCAAAAGCTATTAATCAAATCATTTTTGAGAACCCTCAAGCCTATATACCATTGATTTCCAAATATAACTTGCATGGACATAATCTTTGACTTTAATGTCAAAGGGTAAATAACTGCAAAGAAAGATTCAATTTCTTCACTAATCGCATATATTCCATACATTATGGAATATTCTACCTTTAGACGCCATAAGTGCTGAATCAGTCAACTCATTCAAAAATAGTGTTTACAAATAGAAATTCAATATAGATGAATAATCGGACACACATGTCTTTTCTTTCAGCATGGAAGTACCTGGCGTAGCACTTTCTTATCAAGAAATATAAATGTAATATATGCCTATATAATTGATTTCTGAAATAGATAAACTCAGACTCAATATATATAACCAAGCAAAAGAATAAAAAAATTAAATATGGCAGTGAAAAATCTAGGACAAAAAAGGTTATATAAATTAAATCTTTATAAAAAATAGATTAATATGAACACATTTAATATTTTAGAAAACAGGCTACTTTACTTGTGGTTAAAACCCTCTTTTAACTATCTAAACACGAACCTTGAAGAACAAGGCCACAGAAACAAGTCCAAACAAAAATTCTCTTATCCAAATAATCTTGAGTTTGAATTTTGAAAAAATTTAAAGGAACTTTTCCTTTAAATTTTTAATGTTCTATTATAATAATTATAAATTTAACTGAATGGAAACTGCAGCAACATCCATAATACCCAGTGACATAACAAGGATCATTGCTAAAAATCAAACATAGAGCTACCTACAGTATCAATATCAGATTTAGAAGACAGAACAAGCAAGGAAGAAAGTTTTATTTAAATTGTAAACATTTTTAATAGTTAGTTTTTTTTGTAAAACGTCATTATTTTTTGTTTGTTGAAAATAGTTTAAAAACTAGAAACATTCTATCACAAACGTTAAACAAGTGAAACAAAAACTAAATTATAAAAAAATTTATATTTTAAAAAATAAATCATTTTAATTTTGTTCAAAATATTATTTTTTTCATAAAAAAAAAAAAAAATTAGCATATACTTATATATATTTATAGAAATATAATTCAACTAAATATTGTTTTCTCACTTTATCTTATTGCAAAACAATTAAAATGAAAAAATTAAATGAAAATCAATATTAAAAATATATATATATATACCTAAAAATTAAGAATCACTAAATTAGAAAGGACATGGTATTTAACTAGTTTAGTATTGTTTTGAATTTACTTGCAGGGTGTTAGGCAGCCCAATGGCAAGGGGTATAATGCAGAATTCCCAATAGGTTTAACATTCCCAAAATGCAATGAATTTTTTTTTTCTTCGAAGGAGTAAAACAATTTCAATAAAATTTTCAACATTTTGTAAAACAATAACAATAGATATTCACAATATTACAAAAACGCAGTAAAAAATATATTCCTAGCTAATACCCTGACTTGTTTCTTTTTTTTTGATTTGATTATACTTGTTAAGTTTAAAGTATATTAGGTTTAGTTAAATATTAAGTTTAAAGTTTTATGAAATGTTTCCCTCAATTCTAATTTATTAAATAGAATAATTCTATTTATCTAGTTTGTTTTATTCTAAATGCATTTCATGTTTTTTATGTTAAAACTATATAAAACAGCAAAACAATGTAACAAAGTTTATTAATATCAGCACAAGCATTTTATATGGACAAAACAACTTCACAGTATTGTTTTCTATAGCTTTTTACAGCAACTATTTAGTATGCTTTAAAAAAAAAGTGTTTTATTGTCAGCAATAACATAAATTGTTTTTATAACTGTTTAAAGTGATTCAAATATTGTAATCTTTGCGTTTTTAGTTTTTTAAGTATTATATTAAGTAAAAATAATTATTAAAAGTAATATCTTTACAGTATTAAATATGTTACTTTCTTTTTGCGTTAATTCGAGCCCTGTTTAAATGGTTCATGAAGAATATTTTTAAATTATTTCATAGTCAAAATAAAAATCAAATGACTTGTATATAAAGAAAGTTTTAAAGAAAATATTATAGTTTATTTTAATATTATAAAAAACTACCTAAAACTTGAAAAGGCTGACGAAATCCAAAAGTTGTTTTGTAGAAATTGACTATTTTTTTGCAATGTTTTAGTCGCTTAACTCTCATTCTTTAGGTAAATATTTCAAAGTTTTTATGAAAGCTAAATTCTATAACTAAATCAAAAAACAAAGTTATATATATGCAAAAAGATAAATTTTTACCAAACTATCCATATATATATACATGTGTGTGTATATATATATATATATATATATATATATATATATATATATATATATATATATATATATATACATGTGTATATATATATATATATATATATATATATATATATATATATATATATATATATATATATATATATATCAGTGACGTATCCAGGAATAATTTGGGTATACCGGTCTAAAAATCCTGTCTATCTTAGGGGACCTTTTTTTTTTTTTTTTACACAAATTTAAATACAATTATTCGTATATAATATATAATTCACCCTTGTCTTCTAGATTTTTTCTAACAAAAATTTAAATAATTAACTAAAATAATGTTACATTTATTACAGAACAACGGCTTTAACTCCAACATCGATTTATCGGTAATCGCTACTTTTCATTTACTTGCTCCATACACTTACTATTTATAAATTAATACTAATTATTAAATTATTAAATTAAAAATATTAAATAATATTAACTAGAAATAAAAAGAGTATGATTTCATAAACAAGCAATAACTATAACATTTATTAAACAATATTTGTATGACTCTGATATAAACTTCATAAGATTTATTACATAGCGTATTTAAAGCAAGGTAAATTCATTCGAAAATTTAATTCATTCAAAAATTCATAACTTTTTTTTCTAGTTCTACTCTTACTATTCAAATCAAGTTTTTTGGCGCGAATATTAAAATGTTATTTTAATTATTTAAATAAATGTTATTTTAATTTTATGTCTTAAAAACTTTCATTCGTTTTATTATTTAAAGTATTTTACAAACAATTTTTACTATTGTTTGAAATGAAAAAGTTTAAAACTCATCTAGTTTAATCGCTTCGAAAATTATGTTACGAAAATGTAAGCGGACGATAAACTCATATTAATGTATTTTAAAAATGTTATTTAAAAATGCTCAGCGTTTCATATTTTAATCCAATCAAAACGTGCGTTTTACATTTAATCCAATTACAACATATTCTATATTTCATCAACGTGAATTCGAATTAAGCATTTTGGTTGGCTTAAAATACATTTATAATGTATTTTAAGTTTTAAAATACATTTTACTTTTAAAATACATTTATAATGTATTTTAAATGCGACTTTTAAAATACACTTATAATGTACTTTAAAAGTCGTTTTTCAAATGTTGATATTTATGTAATTGTAACAAATGCTAATATAAAACTGTTTTAAATTGAGTTTGGGCTGCCATAAATTTGAAAAATTTGGGGGCCCATACCGGTATACCGGTATCAAAATCGGCCTGGATACGTCGCTGTGTGTATATGTATATATATATATATATATATATATATATATATATATATATATATATATATATATATATATATATATATATATATATATATATATATATATATATATATATATACTTAGGTCGTTAGGAAAGTTTGTAGAACTCCCCTATAAAAAAAAAACAATGAGTTTTTTTTTAATTTTATGTTATTAAATGTTCAAAATGATGTCCATCATTATCTATACAAAGTTGCATCCTTTCAAGCCATTTGTGAAACGTTTTTTTATACTCTTCTTTGGGTATACTTTCAAGTAGCTTCGTTATGCGGGTTTTTGGCTTTCGACATCAGTATCGCCATCAAGATATTTTATCAAGTCGAATAGCCAATAATTGGATGGAGCTAAGTCTGGTGAGTATGATGGGTGGCGAATTATTGTAATTCCAGCTTGGTTTAGACAATTTGTGACGGTTTGAGTTTAATGGGGTCAAGCGTTATCATGGAAAAATTTGAAATTTGTGCCTGTTTTAGGTCTTTGCTTATTTATTTCGCATATAAGAGATTTCAATCAATTTTTTATATAATATTCGCTAGTAATGGTGTCTCCCTTTTCAACATAACCCAAATGAACGACACCTGTTGTTTTGAAGATGTAGAACATACTTTTCAGCTGAAATATATTGCATCTTACTATAGTTCTTGGACTTTCACCTTCACCGATCCAACTAGCGTTAGCTGACTTGTGTCATAACTCATCTCCTGTAACAATATCACATAGCCTCCATGAGCCATTTCTGAAAAGGGCTTAAATGCCTTAACTCTATTCATTTGATTTTGATCGGTTAACTCGTAGGGTATTCAACGCGATGTTAGTTTTCATTTTTTAAGTGCATTGTAAATGATTTCGTTAATTGTAAAACGATTAATTGATGCCAGGGCTTCAATTATATCATGTGTTGCATGCAGATTTTGATCAATAATGGCTCGCACACGTTCAATGTTCTCAGCTGTATACGATGTTTGAGGGTACCCTAAGCGAGGATTATCTTCAAGACTCTCTCTACCATCTTTAAATAAAGTAGTCCACTTGGCAACTGTACTAACTGTATTTTGGAGCTTGGTAACCATGAACTAAAACCAATTCATCGGTTATGGTTTGTGCTGAAACTCCAAGTAGAGCACAGGTTTTAATATATGCTCCATATTCAAGTTTTTCCATTTTCAAATTTTTTCTTTCAAACGTTTATAATAAAATTTAAATAACTCTTCAAATAAACATTCACAATATTTCAACAAGTACTCAAAATGTTCATAATTAAACACAGTTTAAGATGATATATAAATATTTAATTATTTACTGTCTTATTGTAACTTTATAGATAAAGTTCTACAAACTTCTCTAACGACCTAAGTGTGTGTGTATATATATATATATATATATATATATATATATATATATATATATATATATATATATATATCTATTGTTAAAACCTTAAACTTACCCTTTGTGATAAAAAAACAGCTCTTAACTACTCTGACATATAGCAAGACAAAACTAAGTATAGTTTATGTTAAAAGTAATGAATTTAACTAACTAATTAAATTTATCATATTTTTAAAAACGTTTTTAAAAAAATACAGAATGTTCACAAGCCAGCTTGTGGGCATTTCTTGGTGTGTGCAAAAAAAAAAAAAAGTGCAAACCTAATTTTTTATTAACCAATAAAAAAAGCTAGAGAAAAACAATTGGCTTAAATGAATAAGATTTTAATCATCATAGTGTTGATTGCCTAAAAATTGCTCTAACAGCAGTTAATGAATTTATACAATTTTTATATTAAAAATATCAACTATTTAAAATGGTCTATTTAAATCGAAAGTGAAAATATTAGTACCTTTTCAAATCCCAATAAAGAAACAGTCACTCTAATTAAAGAACAAATTTTTATTCCAAATTGAAAAAAATATATACATTTCATCTTTGTTAGTAAAGATTTCCAACAATTTACAATTTTTTCTCAATGTATCTTTACTCATGTGTTAAATATTGAGAATTTCAAATAAGAATTTAAATGAAGACATGATTGTTTGAAAGTCTTCAAAATGCCCTTTCATAGATTTAATGGCACAACTAAAAAGTAATGTTCATTGGTAATGTTATTTGGCATGATGCCAAATAACATTACCTATTATAAAATCAAAAATATCCATTTTAGCGGCAATAGATTTGGCTGATACTATGGTGGTTTCATCACTATCACTTTTGGCAATTTCACACAGCACTTCATAAATTTGTTGCATTTTTTTCTTGATTACTATCGCAGCTCTGATGTGACTCTCCCATCTTGTATCAATTAAAGATTTAATTTTTAGTGATAGACATATCAATTCTAAAATACTCCAAGGTTTTGTGGAACTAGAAAAAAAGTTATAAAGGCTCTGACTAATTCCAAAAAATGTCAAAATTTCCAATCCAACTTTTAAAGAAAAAATAAGATTAAACAACAATAATAACAACAACAACAATAAGATTAAACGACAACAACAAGATTAAGTGAATGTGCTGTACTAGAGACAAAAAGACAGGAATTTTGTACGATAGAATGCTATTGCTGACCACCTAAATGATTTTTTTTTTAGACAAATTGACCATGACTGTTTAGATGTTTTGATGATTTAAACATTTCAGAAATGCGCTGAAAAAAGAAACGCTAAGTTAAACTTAAACTAGGAAGAACCAAGAAAGAAAATTGCAAAAAAATAAAAATAAAAATAGTAATAAAAAATAAAAAAACCATTCCTTACAAAAAAAAAAATATATATAAGCACAAAATAAAACTTAAAAAACTTAAAATCAAAGCTAAAATAACTTTTTGTTACGCTTTTAATTGCGTTTGAAATAATTTCATTTAAAACTTATCTTTTGAAATGTTTTATTAAAGTTATGCAAAAACTTTTACATTAAGTAACAAATTACTTCTAATATATTTTTTTTAAATTGTATAAACATTTATTTTTATCCAAAAAGTTGCAAAAAAAAAAAATTGTTAAAAAATTAAATATTTTTTTAAAAGAATAAAAAAGATCATAAGATAAAAACATTACAAAATACTTTACATTAACCAACAAATTACATGCTTACATAAGTAAAATTCTTTTTATATTCTTGTATAATTTATATAAAATATTCCTACACTCATTCTAAGCAACTAGTCACGAAAAATTTTGAACTTTTTTATAATTTAAAGTAACTTAAAAAAAATAATAATTTAAAAGGTTTTAGAAAGACATTTAAAAAAAGTTTTAAACATATAAATTCATCATTAAAAATACATGTCTATAAAAAAAAAAAAAAAAACATTTTTTGTTAATTTACACAAAAAGTGTTAGTTTTAAACAATCATTATAATTAATTTTTTATTTTTTAAAAAGCCTTTCCATAAAATAAAACCTTTAGAAAAGATCAACAAATAAAAGTTATTCATTAAGTAACAATTTTTTAAATTGCATTTAAATTGTTAAAACATCAAAAAAGATGTGGTCAAATTTTAAAGAAAAAAATATAAGTGTGGTCAATTATGTTGTTCCGGTCCAAGACTGTTATTTCTATCTATATTTTTAATTTGTAAGCCCTTCTTTTTGCCTCTCATATATTGCACAATTATCATATGCCTGACCTCTCATATCTTTAAGTGAAGTTTATTTTTATTTAATGAAACCACAATTTTTTGCTTCAATCCTGTAAAACTAAATTTTGTTTATATACCTTAATTTATAATATATATTACATTAAAAAAATCAAAAAATAAAAAATTTCAAAAAATTACAAACCTGTGATATCATCAATATTAATAAAATTTAAAATGCTCTCTTGAATGTCAACCACTACTAAATTGTTTTGTTTTTTTATGACTAGATATCTGATATTCTATGACTAGGCATCTGGTGTGCGATCCGCAAGAATAAAGTAGTATTTAGCTTTCCAAAGATTTTTAAGGATTTCTTCCTCAGTAAATAATTTGGAAACATGATATTTCATATTTAGGTCAAATTCTGTCATAAGATCAATTATTTTCAGGAAATTTTCATTGTTTTCTTCATACAGTTTATGAGATAAACCTCTAAAAGCCGTGTTTTGTGATGCCATCAGAAAATATGATAATTAGAGGGTCATCTGATTCAGCTTTTACAAAAAAGACTTGATCAGAATTCAATATATTTTAAACTTTCATGTGCAGCTGAAGAAGATTCAATATTAATTTTTTTTCCTGCTTCATACCATTTGGAACGCAAATTACTGTGAAATCACAGCTATCATTAATTTTAGAAAGCTTCCAAACAAAACTCGCCATTTTGAAGGTTTATCACGGTAATATTTTGTCATAATAAATTATATATTTTAGGATTTGAATTACATTAACTGGCAAGATAATTTATAAATATCCGGGTATTTGATATCTGGTCGGATAATGAAAAAATATTATCCAAGACACCCCTACTTTTTAAAATATCCCATCAATCAGTTTCAACAAAAGGTTTTGAATTTCAAAGTCTTCTTTTCAACTCAATCCATTTGATTCCAACCAACGATTCTCATAATTTCATGGGTAGCTGTTTGATTGACGGTTTACAAGACCCTTCATAACTATTTCTTGAATATTATGGTTTGTAAGAGTTTGAAGCCAATCAGAAATTTCTTTAAAATTTGTACAAAAAAGAGATCACACAATTATATTTGCGGGAACAGTTTTTTGAAGTTGGATTACCCCGATGGCTCTTCAATTTTGCTAGATACTCAGTTTTAGCTCGATTCTTCACCTTCCATCTCAACTTTATGTTCTCTGATTTTGTTTGAAATGATTTCATATGGAAAAGTATTTATCTCAACATCATTCTTGGAGCTATAAATTGTTTCTTAAAAACTTAAAAAAGTATTTAATTTAGTTTGATTTTTATCACATCTTTTCTGTTTCTTAAGCCATTTCAGATAATACTAAAAACCTGACAACTTTTTTATTTTTTCAATTTTTTAGAAGTTTAATGATAACAAAAGTTATATAAAGTTTCTCTGTGCTAAATAATATTTGTAACTTAAATCAGGTTAGACAATTTTCAATACTTTCTAATTATTGTTAACTTACTAATATATATAAATAATAAAAATCAAGAATAAATAATAACGACTGATCATAACAATATAATAACTATAATAATAAAGTTATTATGATAATTTTGAAAATAACATTGTGATTTGAATTCTAATTGATAATAAAATAAAAAAAATTCTATTGATACTAAAATTTGATAAGCAAAAAAGTATTCTGGAATTTTCTATATAGATACTTTAAAGGAAAAATGTTAACAAATATTAAATATTGAAATATCGATGTAATTTTAAATGTATATAAATAATGATCAAATATTATTAGAACATATTTTTTTTGGCAATTATTCATTTACTGTTGATTTAAAAATTTGCCGCCCCTAGCTGCCTGTGTGCATTGCACATTTTACACATCCAACCAGCCGGCACTGTATGTATATATGTATACATGTATATATATATATATATATATATATATATATATATATATATATATATATATATATATACATTATATTATCTTGTTGTTAAAATTAATTATTTTTATTTTATATAAAAATTAATTTAGAACACCGCAAAAAATTTAAAAATATAAAAAATATATTTCTTTTAATTGATAGATTGCCTGCCTAAACCTAAACCCTCAGTTGTTGTTGCAGCACTCCTCACATGTTCTACCTATTTTTCAGTAAATCTAAGTAAACATTTAAAATATATATATCACGGCTGTTTCACACAATGTAAATTTAGACATTACGTCACAAGAATAGCATTCTTGTGACGTAATGTCTAATCCTTTCACATTAGATTTAAGTAAAGTTTTTTTGCTTTGAAGCTGTTCTAAGAATGACCATATTACATATTAAACAACAAATTTTTAGATTATTTTTGCTAAATTTTTCAAAAGATTATTTCTGTTATGTTATTTCTGCGTATTTATTTATAAAATCAATAAAAGTTTTGACATATTAAATGTTTTAAATTAAACATTTTATTGGGGTTTATATTCTTTTTACAGAACAAAATTATCTGTAATAATATAAAGTTATAAAAATTTTAGTAACACCCCTTACACTAATAATTTGAAAAAATAACAAGAAGCCATATGTCCACCTTGAAACAACCGTAATTTTTATTTTTATTAAAAATTTTTGTCTATTAAACTATGTCTTAATGATTTATTTAAAAAGCAATAAAATTTGATTAGTTTCTTCAGTTAAATTTTTATTTTTAAAGACAAAGAGTCATTAAGATACAAACAGTAAATATACAAAAAGCAAAACTACTTATATCTGTATAAATAAAAACACTTATATTAGAAGTAAAAAATTACCGGATGAATCAAAACTAAAAAAAAATAAGCATAAATAAAACTACAACAGGTATACAAAGTTAAGGTAAACTTTTAGCATTAATGTTTAATCATTTAAAAGTGCTAATCTAACATGGTTATAATTAAAAAAAAAAAAAAAGGTGATATACTTGAACCAGTTTAAATGCCAGAAAATTTCTTTAACAATTGTGTGCAAAGTGATGAGGAGAATTAGTAAAATAATGTGACATCTGAAAGATAATAAATTAATCTTAATTTAGTAAGATCGTAAAAAAAAAAATCTATTAAATTCATATTCTTATCACATAACGAAGTCAAGATAAACACAAAAAACTAAAAAAACTTATAGCAAAATTGTTATTTTGTATGAATTTTAACTATTAGCAATTTAAATTGTTTTATTTTCCATTTTTAAATAATAATAATAATAAAGTGAAAACAATAAACATAAATTGAAGAAAAACATTAAAACAAAGAAAACCAAAAGCAAAGTTAAAAGAAAAATTGTTCATAATAAATTTGAAAACAAATAACTTAAATAATTTGTATTGTGTATTGTCTATATTGTCCTATTTTTTTTTTTTTTTTTTAATTGTGGTATTGCTAATTATTTTCATTATTGCTGCCTTTTATATATTTGTTACTATTCAAGTGGTTTTATATTTTTTGTTTCAACATAATATTTAAATTTGTCCTTTCGTTTTCTTTTTCATTTTCTACCATCCTTCTGATCGTTAAACATTTTGTTATCTTACTCATTCATTATCTTTCATGTCAGCTCATTTACTTTTACCCTTTTTTATGTTATTAGTCTAGCTCTTTGAATATCAATGATCTTCTTTTTATTGATCTTTTTTGGTCACTATCTATAATATTATTCTTTGTTTGTTTGTTTTTTGCTTGATTTTTTTCTTTTATTACGGTGTCACTCTAATGACTAGTTTTTATATTTATACAAACCACACCGAACCTAATTTTGTAAAATTAATTTAATATTGATAGATTTATAATCCAAAATATAATTCTTAAAATATCTAAATGCATCAACAATGTATAGGTACGTGTGTAAAAATTTCAAATTGTTTAAATATTAGATTGTTATATATCGTTGGAAAGAATTTTAAAAAAATATTCTAAAACTGAAAATTTTATCAAAATTGGATGATTCTACAAAAAGTTATGAGCATTATAGTGACGAAATTTGATTACAAGGATTCCTTAACAAAAATGTGACCAATTTATAATGGTTTTGTAACTTAAACCGCTTAACATTGTCAAATCTTATCTAAATGCATATAACTTGGTATCAAAAGATAGGTGTAACATTGGGCTACAAGCTTCTTTTGCTTTTGACACCTGTGCGCATTCAGGGGGCTAGAGGGGGAACATAAGAAACATCTTTGCCATTAAAAAAATTCACATTTCTTCCAAAAAAGGTTGTTTTTTTATATATAAAACTAGTAATTTATCAGTTTAAGTTGTTATTTTTTTATTCCAGTTTGCAAGCAAATATTATAAATGTATTTTATGAAGGAGGTGGATGTGGTGGTATTGGTACACACCCTAGTATCGAAAGATTCATTCTAATAAATATTTTTATCATTATTAAAATGAATAAAAATAGTAAATAATAAAACTAAAAATTATATTTAATTAAATTATATATTAGTGACATAAATAAATTATAGGATGTGGGGCGTCACCCCCACCCCCATCTATCATAAAAAAAAAGTTTAAAAACAAAAACTAGCAGCATAAAAAGTGGTAGAATACGCTCCTTCCAAATCTTAAAACTTTAAATTTAATGCTGCTTTTAAATGCTCTAAATGCTAAAAAAAAAAAAAAAAAAAAAAAGAGAATGTATACATATGTATAATAAATAAGAAACTTACATAATGCGATCGTTTATGTGAACTAATAATAACATTAAATTTAAAAAACGACAATAACATAAAAAATTATGTTTTAATTTATAACTTATTTTGACTTTTAGTAAATGATTAAAAACAGTTTGGATCACCTTTAAGCAAGAAAACTAAGTTATATATATAATATAAAGAAGAAAAATATGTTAAATTAAGGCTTCTAATACTTTGTTAGATATTTTTTAGAGTAAATGGTTAATTTATCTTAACCGCCCTTGTCACGTAGTTTGTTAAGCTGTATAACAATGTTTGCTGCAATACAATCCCTGCCAAACAGTTTCCCTTTTAATGTTTCCAATGCTTTAAGTGAAGACTTATGCAAGCAGAGGTCATTGTATCCAATGGGTGAAGATGGAAGTTTAGTAACTGTTTAACGATTACTGCCACTAAGTATTTAACTTAGTGATAGTTGCATGGTTTGCTGCCACTTGGTCACTCATCTTATACTACTTATATTAGCAATAATTACTATATCTTATATTACTATACACTCATCTTAATATTACTTATATTAGCAATAATTGTACTTCGTACTTCAATATATTGTTGCTCGTAAAAATTAATATACATCTTAGCAAGGTGATCTACAGACTGTGTAATATGACTCTGATAATCATTAGCTGTACCCCAAGCAAGTTGGTCAATAGCCACAACCATGCATCGTGTTTTGGTTGTTAAGTGCACAGTATTTATATGGCCACCCTCTTGTGTAGTAGCATCAAAGCTTGAGGTCATATTTTTTGTTGCAATAGCTATTTCAGCAGTCTGCAGATCTGAACTCCAAGCTCACGCATCATCTGCTCCACAGTTGTACGATGCTGAGTTTCAGTTGTTAAACATTTATTTTAAAAGTATACAAGTAAAGCATGTCCTTTAAGACATACCTGATACGAAAAAGGTAGTTTAAGATACTCTGATTTCAAATGATTCATCATTAAACATTTCTTTGGCATTTTAAAAACTCTAGGTACAAGTATAAAAATTTAATTACATTATTTAGAGCACTAAGCTGTAAATAAATAAATTATATTTATTTAATATAGAGAATAAAATAAAAATAGTAAATAATTCACTAAATTTTATTGTAACATGTTTAATAATATTAACGCTGCATGTTTAACATGTTACTCTTCTTGACATGTTTAACATGCTAACCTTCTTGAAGGAGAGTTTTTGTAGACGTTCATAACTTATAGAATAACAAAGCAAATATAATATATAACTATTTATAATTCTATACAGTATATAATAATAAATGTAATTTATTTAATAAACTATTAAAATTAAATAAATTTTAATAGAATTTAATTACTATTGCAATAGTCTAACAAAAAAATATATTTTGATTAATTATTTAATGAGTAAATAATGATGCAAATATTCGATAAAAATAATTTAATACTTTGAAAGAATAATCAAAAATACAACTAAAAGTATAAATAAAAAATTATATATCTTCAAAAGATTCAAAAAAGATTCTTTTTAAGAATCCACAAATGCCACAAGGTTGTTTATAAAAAAACAGCAAGTTAATAATATGCATTTTGCACCAATCGGAGTTTCAAAAACTATCATGTGACTACAAGAAATGAAAAAATGCGAACGCAGCGTAACAAGGCAAGAAATCCAGCATTTCATAGAAATACCTAGGGTGCTTGGGGAAACCCAAAACCAATGTGCGCTACACCTGATTAATATAAAAATTGTACCAATATTAGACAAATAAATGATCTACAATACCTTAAAGTTTCATAAAGTACCTGCCATAATTTACAGAGCTGTGATTCATAGAAAAAATGTGCCAACTTATGATGAAAAAATATATATGCTTTTTTTTTGTAAAGTAGTGTAAAAATGTATCAAAATTTAGACAAACCTTTTTCCTAACTATGTGCAAAATTTCAAAAAAATTGGTTAATAATTAGCGGTACAGTGTCGTTTGCCCTAATACGTGTCTTGGCCAAATTACAAAAATCGGGTCACAGATTTTAGCTTGCGTTTTTACGGCAAATTACGAATTTACGCACGTACCTACAATGTATTTATCAAAAATATAGACATAGCTTAACGAAACAGGTTTTGTTTGTATAAATGAAAATCGTAAAATACTTTGCATACTGGATAGTTCACTTTTTTATAGTAGAGATAATTCGCTAAAAGCAAAAATAGATAAACAATCAGAATAAAAAGAGAAAAAAATATATAATGAAGAGCTTGATAAAAATTATATTTTATTCAATCACAAGGTAAAAATAAAGTCATTCGGATGTGTCTAACAGCGCAACGCAATTTAAAAAATGTAGTCCTTTACATTTACAAATATATTTTGATCATTAATAATGTAAAATTTATGTTTTCGGGTATAGTAATTTTTAGTTTGTTTAGTTTTTGTACTTAAAATAGTTTCAAACGCACGTGGTAAAAGCCCTTATAGAAATGTCTCGTTTTCACAAAAAAATACTACACGTTTTGATTCTTAAAGTATATAATCGTCATTCACACCAAAATTAAAAATATATATTACAAAAACGGAAATTAAATATAAAGTTTACTTGACGTTTTTAACAGTTAATAATTTCTTTCATAACATACGTATATTTGAGAAAAATTAAGCAACAATAAAATTAGTATTGTAAGTCTTACTGATCTTCAAACACATTTAAAATGCAGTTATTATTATCAATTCTAGTTATATTTTCTGCATCTTTTGTAAAAAGTAAGAAATGTTTGTTTATTATTTAAAATTAACTTATTAATTTGTATGCTTAAATTTAATAATAACCATAATAAACATAATAACATCAATAGTTGTTATTATTTTAACGACAGCAAAATTATGATATTAATAGTAATCATTGTAATAATAGTAGTAGCAATAATATCATAAGTAGAAATAATAACAACTACAATATTAGTTATAATAATAATACTTATAATAAATATAAATTAAAAACATCAAGTTGACAAAGTAAAAATGACCCCAATATTTAGGAATAAAATATTTCTATTTATTTTATTTGATAAAGTTTTGGTATATCAAAAATTGAATTAATTATTTTTTCAACTTGATGTTTTTAATTTACATTTATATATTATGTATTAGAGATGGTCTTAAAAGTATAGTGATAAAATTGTATTTTCTGTTAAATAATTACTGTGATAGACACTTGTCCTTTCACCATCTAAATTTCGGTATTTTACAACTTGGAATGGCATTTAATGACTTAATCTTTATTGTTTTTACTTCATTTATTTTACCATGTAAACAATAATTGACATTTTTGCAATGGATTAATCTAGTGGATGCATTGACTGAATGAGATTTTTACTATTTTATTCTTAGTTGAAAATTTATAGTGATTTTACCTGGAATTTAAATTGTTTTAACTATTTGCAAAATAAAATTTTTTCTAAAAAAACTTTTGTAGATTATTTAATATTTTTTACCAACACAATTATAGGTAGAAGTAGTTAGTAAATCTTTAAGAATATTTCTACATTTTTTGAAAATACTAGTTTCTTTTTTTTAAATTTTTCTAATTATTTTTACATTTACATTTTTTAATATTTTTTTCTTTACATTTTTTACACATGCCTTAAAAAGTAGAGAAAGTTACAATTTTATTTTCAGAATGTCTTTATTTTAAAAATAGGTGAATCATGTACTACTCCTTCAGTTGTTGTTCATACCTATACTTCTAGGAGCATAGCGTTATCTACAGAAGTTGATTATATAGCTGATTTTTCTGTTAAATGCAAAGAAGGTATTAATCGATTAAACTTATATGCTGAATTAGAGCCAGGTCATATAGTACCAGTTGCTTACAATGATGCTAATAATCAGTATCAAGTAAGTTTATTCTTATAAAATTTTTGTATATTCATGTACAGTTTGCATGACAAATTTCATTTTATTGTAATTTTAATTTTAAGGTGAGTTGGTCAAAACCTCATAAAACAGCTGTTGTTGGAACAACAAGTGTAAGAGTCTTCAATGATGAAGGGCTCTCTGCATATAGAAAGGTAATCATTAAGTATGTTGCAAATATACTTATACATATTCAAAAAAATGTGTATAAGTATATAAGTATATGAAACTAAGTATATAAATCTATTTTAAAATTTTAAATCTCACTACCTACAGCCATTAGCGCTGTAATTCTTGGTAATTTAAAAAAATAGCGCTTAATATTTTTAAAGAACATATATATGTATATATGTGTATATATATATATATATATATATATATATATATATATATATATCCTTATAGTGTAGTCGAAAGAGACTTTTATGGTAAAAAAAAGTTTCTTTCGACAACAATTTTTTTACCTTGTCTCTTAAGCTGCATTTTATTGTCGTTGAAATGTCAAAGCAATTAAATTAATGCGGAAGTACATTAAATTTTATTGTTTTTAACAAAAACCACAATAATAATGACTAGAAAGTGTTTTTTAATTAGTGATGTTTTTGTTTTTGTTTTATTTTTTAAAAATTTTAAAGCGTCGTAAGTGTTGCTACATCGACTATCTTATAGCCTGACTCGCAACCGAGTGCTGCTACATCGACTGACAAATACCCTTACTCGCAAGGGAATGCTGCTGCATCGACTGAGGGTTTGGTTTGGGCAGGCAGTCTATCATTTTTTTTTTTTTAAAAAAATTTATTGAAGTTTTTAAACATTTTCTGGTCAGGATTATTAACGCGCTCTTGCAAACAACAGTTTATGGGAAAAACTTTGTGGCTACCATGCAAGACTATATCAGCCCTCAGAATTAGAAAAAATGTGTTTAGCAATTTATTAGAGGTTGGCATCAAGTGAGCAAGATAGTCAATCTTGTCTTTTATTTTCACAGTGTTAAAATTTGTAAAATCTTTATAGATCCCATTAATCATATTCAAATTTTCTTGAAGTCCTTCAAAAATTGTCTCTGAATTTTTATTTTTCAATGTTATTGGATTTAGCCTAATCAGTCTTTTATCGTTTTTTAAACTACTACTTGATGTTTCACTGTAGCTATCTTTTTCCAAATGTAAACATTGATTCTTAAAAATCAATGTTTGACCTAAAGTTGTTTTCTCTAATTATTTTTTAATTTTTTACTTTCTCTGATGACTGTCATATGGATTGCTGGAGGAGTTGGTGCAGAAAGATTGATACCAATTATCTGAAGTTGTTGAGCATTGTGGCAGCATTTTAATGTACTCAAATTTTCTCAATTTACCAATTTAATAGCCTTGAATTTTCTTTGTTTAATTTTGTCTTCATTAATATTTGTTGAAGGTTATATAATTAATGCCACTGTCTCTTTTTTCAGTTTTGGAAAATTTAAATTGGCCCAAAGGCTAATTTTAATTTTTTTAGAATAGATAAAAGAGTGGTGCTTTTTCTTGCTGTTATCTTACATAAATGATATTTTTATATTTGCTAAATAATTTAGGCTCAACGTAATAACGAAGGAACAGATAAAGTTGAACCTCTTCTTAAAGTGGAAGTTTATCATCCTGTATGTTTTTTGTTCAAACTTTGGTACGAATATTACAATATGTTGTAGTTATTTTTACTTGTATTTTAATTTAGGGTGTCTCTCGAGAGGGTTTGTTTGTGCAGACCGAATTCCTTGCTGTTGTTGTTGCTCTTCTTGTTTGGTGGATGGGTAATTCGTGGAGAAGTCAAATTATGGAATAAAATGTCAGTGGTTTTACAATTTTATGTAAAATACCTTAGTAAAACACTTAGTTTTTATAATTGCTAGAAGATATAAGTGAATTTTTTATTCAGTGGAACAACTAAAAAATTAACGTTTAAAAAAATGTCTTTATTAACGGTTAGCGTTAAAAAATAAATTATTTTAACTTTTTTTTTATTGTAAGTTGTTCGCACCAAAAACGCTAATAATGTTAGAAAAATGGGTGTTATTTGTTTTTGAAAATTTTTGCTTGAAAATGCATTATTTTAAAATAATGAAAGCGAACTAGTACTACCTGCCCTCCATTTTTACCTAGTCTAAGTGAGTGATTAGTAAATCATCACCCATCCTTTTGAGCTTGGACCTCACTCCGTACCTTCTGTTCCATGCGCTTCTTATTTAAGCCTTCCTTTTACTCACCCTTCATTCATACAAGTTTAGGTATATATTTTTGTAATATGTTTGTTTTCTCACATACCACTCAGGTAAAGTTTGAATAAAACTTGTAAGCAACTCAACTAAAAGCAAAATTAAAGGAAAATAAATACCGGATTTTTATCGGAAATTTTTCCCAAACAATTTTCCGGATTTTTAAAATATAATCTGAATGATCATATTTTAAATCATCATGAATAGAACAATTGTAAGAAAGTTATTGGTTGGATAAATGTTGCATTTTGTTTTGCCTGTTTTTGAAAGCAAGAAAATTTTAAAAATCTTTTGAAGTTAAAGGGGAAGTACTCCAAAAATGTTAAAACAAAGTTTTATCATTTCAAACTTTGTTTTAACATTTCCGAAGAGTTACATATATTTAAACTGTCAAATTGCAATTATACAATATATATAGAACATGTCTATCTTCGGATCGAAATGTGAAGACGCTTTTGCCCAAATAAGAAACGGCTTACGCAATATTCTATATAAAAACAAACTATATAAATCCTTGTCTTTTTTTGAAACAGCGGATTAAATTTTTAAACAAAAAAACGATAAGTATAATTCAAAAAAAATGAAATTACTCCGTTTTCCGGACATAAGTTACAAAATCTCTATTCTTACATAATTTTTGTTTTCGAAAAAAAAAATTTTACTTTAATTTTTATTTAACTTATGGAGTACTTCTCCTTTTGACTACGTTTTGAAGGCGAAATTATTAGAAAACTAAAAAAAAAAAAAAACCTTCCATTTTTGAACAAGTTTGCTATTTCGCGAGGTTAGAACTATTTATATCTTCATATTTTATTGTTTTGAGATAAAACGATTTAAAAAACAAAAACTTTACGAGAGGGCAGATAAAAAGATTTTTGTTACTTATGTTTTCTCCGAAACTGTTTTGATTTTAACATAGTAGAAAAAAATTATTTTTGAATTATTTTGAAAAAATAATTAAAAAAAATTATTTTGAAAAATTATTTTGACATCTAAAGTTGACTTCAAGCAAAAAATCATACTATTCAAGCGTGTCTTGACAAAGTTTTGAATCTTATGGAATAGTCCTTTAAATAAATTTTATTGTTTCAAGTGCGCTGCAGTGTCCTCAATTTGGCGTGCAATCCTGGGTGAGTTTCGAAGCAAAGAGAAAAACGCTTTTACTTTTTCGAACCAAGGACTGTCTTTAAGTCCAGCAGAGCAGACCAGATTTAACCGATGGTTGACACAGGAAACTGATAAGACTGATGATGAGTTTTTGGATAAAGTCTTCACATTGGCGGCAGCAGTATCATGAATGAGGAAGGATTTACAACCATTAGGCAATTGAATTTGTAAATCTTGAGTTAAACTAGAAAAATAATTTCATAACATTGTAAAAATAATTAAACACAAAAACGTTTTTTGACACATTGGTGAAGGAGGTTAGCAAAACGAGGGGTAAAGGGTTTTTTCCTCAGAGCGCTAACGATTAAAGAAGCGCCAAAAAAATAAAGCTTGTCTTTTTATAAAAAACATTTTTCTGAAAAAAAATAATTTTTTATTATAAGAAGGTGCTATTTTGCTATTTTGGACACGGGTGCTAATGACCCTCGCTATGCCACTGCATTGTGAATATTAAAATCTATATATCCTACTATAACTATAGTTTCCATCAAATGATCAACATTAACAGTTACCAAGTTTTTTCAATTGGAATTTAACAGAAAATCTACTAATACAGTAATACAGTCTCCCAATTTTTTAGTTAATTATAATTTACTTGAAAGAAATCAAAAAAATTTTTTTTTTTTTCTGATTAATAATATTATTAGAATGCACGTGTACATATGAAATCTCATAAAATAAAATATAAAAGTATATACATTACAACAAAATTAAGTTAAATCAGATAGGGGCTTAAAGAAGATAAAGATAACATTACGTTATCGCAATCATTTCGTAGAACCCCTAGGTAAAAGTTTAAATAAAACAACGTAAGAATAAATAGCTCGTATAAAAAATATAATAATAACAATGTTATCATTAAAAAGTCAAGACAAGGTTAAATTAATCAAAAAAGTAAAAAGAAAAAACTTTATGTTAAGTTCAAATTTTAAAAATTTCTTTTTTTAATTGAAACTTAAATGAATTTAAAGACTACACTATAAATTTAAATTCCTTTTGACAGTCATTCCATAGTTTAGGTCCTCGATAAGATATACAAAATTCTGAGAGTTTATTACATTTCCGAGGCAATTAAAAGTTTTTATTTCTATTTGATCTTAGACCATACTTTTCATTTGAATTTATTTCAAACTTATCTTTGAAGTTTGCTGGCAAGAGGTTGTTATAGTATCTATACATAAAAATTAGATGCTGATAAGTATTTATTTCAAATATATCCATCATTTTCATATCTCTCATAAGAGGTTTTGCATGTTTACGTTTATGTTTACAGTGTATAATACGGCAAGCGTGTTTTTGGAGCCTATAAACTTTTTGAAGTTTGGAAGTTTGCGTATTTACCCATGATATATTTGCATAATTAATAAAACAGTGTATCAGTCTAAAGTATATTAGTTTGAGACTTAACATATTGTCGTATGGTCTAACCCTATACATTACGCCAATAGTTTTGGTAACTTTTAAATGTATGTAATTTATATGGGGAAGCCAGGATAAATTTTCATCGACAAGGATTCCGAGGAATTTTATACTTGCTTGCTTTTTAATTATTGTATCATTTAAGTACAGTTCGCGCAATTTAAGAGAAATGTTTAATTCTTGAGTTCTTTTATGGAATAGAGTATAGTTGGTTTTCTCAACATTAAGTGTGAGTTTGTTAGCTTTAAACCAACTATTTACTTTATTCAATTCTATGTTCATATTTATATAAAGATGTTTAATATGATTATTGGTAAGAAATATATTAGTATCGTCTGCAAACATTATTGAGTTCAGTTTTAATGATGCATTACAAAAGTCGTTAATATAGATTAAGAATAAGAGCGGACCAAGGATTGAACCTTGTGGAACTCCGCAAACGACATTTAATATTCCGGATTGCACATTACGAACATATTGCTTTCTATCAGTAAGAAAACTTTTAATCCAAAATAGGTTGTATTAATTATACCATAATGCTTAATTTTTTATAAGAGAATGCAATGGTCGACTGTGTCGAATCTTTTAGATAGATCTATAAATACTCTTAAAGTAAATTTTTTATTGTCAAACCCATCAGTTATTTGGTTGACTATTTCAATAATTGCATGCTCAGCCGAGTGATTTTTTTGAAATCCGAATTGTTTTGGGTAGAATAAGTTATTTTTAGTGAAATATTCGAATATTCTATTATAAATTACGCGTTCAAACAATTTTGAGAATACAGAAAGTAAAGATAAAGGTCTATAATTTGTAATGTTCGAATGATTGTTACCTTTGTAAATTGGGATTACTTTAGCTATTTTAAGAACATCAGGGAAAACACCAAACTTTAATGAGAGTTTTAGTATATAAAATAAAGGTTTGCTTAAGCTAGTTTTGTTAAAAATAACTATGTTGCTAGGTATTTCATCATATCCTATTTGTAAAATACTTGTTGAACTCTTTTGAAATCAAGCTTTCATTTTATATATTAGTGTTATCAATATTAATTCTTTTAGGTAGTAAAGATGCAATGTTTTTTTTCTTTACCGAATATATTATTAATTATGGACCATGTTTTTTTTACTATTAAAGTTGTATTTGGAAAATAAAATAAAATATTTTTTTTACTAATATAAGCAATACCATTCAAATTTTGCCCAATGTCATTGCAATAAGTACTTACTCGAAGAAGATTTATTGTAAGTTTTCAGCAGTCTGTGGGAAATCAATTGGCTCACAACACCACAAAAATCTCCGTATTTGGTAATTGTTGTTGATGTAATGGACTGTGATGGAATTAACTTGTCACATGCTGGAGAGGACCATCCATCAGTGGATGGATCAACCCTGACTTGAAAAAGACGGTGTCTTTCACAGCTTTTTTGACAGCCTTATACGCAATGGGAAGTTTGTTCTGAGCGTAGGTCCTGGTAGAACAAAGTTTATATTAAAAATAATTTAAAATGTTTTAAGTCACAATCACAATAACACCTGGAATTTGAAGCTTTTTTTACTCGGGTAGTTGTTAGCATAAATATTGGATTAGAACTCTATATACCTGTGGACAAATTGCTTGAATCACTTGTTAAATCGATGGGAGTTCCATAAAGTAAAATGAAACATTTGAGTTTGCAAGGCCTAGACACACTTCATAGTCAAATCTTAATTGCATTGGATCTTTCGACTTCAGCTTTAAAAAATGTGTTGGCTTTCCGATATTCCCGCGCAGTTGAAAGTAACTACCAGCTCCAGTTCCTAGAAATATTTTTTATCGCTGTTGTCACAAGAACTTCACCTCCTAAAAGCAGTTTTGCAAGTTTTAAGAATCATTAAGTATTAAAAAATGATTATCTCCTATTGATGCTAAAACTCAATTTTTCCCCCAAAAGTGGCTTGTTGAGCTTTCATTTCTTCCACCCGCCGCAAAACTTCTTTATACACAACTTTTTGTTTGTGCTTGAGGTGTGACTTCATGCCAGTTGCAGAAGCATTTGGCCTAGCAATGCTGTTAGAGACGACATCTGGATATAACTTGCATTTAACTTGTGGGACATTTTTAGAAGTCTGTTCAACATCTTCAAAGTTATTCTACCAGAGTTTTTGCCG